AACCAAAGACAAGAGATGAGAAGAGACTTTAGGGTTGAACATCTAAACACCAACGCAATACAAGTGTGACTACTACTCACGATGTGTAGTAGGTGCCATATCCTTCTTAGGGAAGCCCTGGACACCCTTGCGCGCGAGGTACTACACCAGCTTCACCCATGTTCCCATGGGCGCATCGTAGGAACTGACGAACAGCATGGAGTCGAGCAACGCCATGACGCGGTTCTTCTCAGCATTGACGGCGGCTCGATGTTGGTCGATCCTGTTAACAGGAATGGAGTGTTGGCCCCGCCCTCGCTTGGGCAACGCCGACAACTTGGTCGGATGTACGGGAGTAGCAGCCGACCGTTTACAGTGGGAGAGCTGCTCGTCAGGCATCGTCTAGCTGCAGGGAACCGCTGTGGTGCTGCTATTGACCAGGGAGCTCGACAGCTGCAACTGACTGGTCTGGGCGACGGATGGGACGTCGACTAGGAGGGGCAGTTCGACCGGGAGGCCTCCGTTGACCTGCAGCTCGACCGGGAGGTCTCCGTCGACCTCCAGCTCAACCAAGGGGTCCCCGTCGACCTGCAGCTCGACCGCCGGGTCCTCGTCGACCTGCAGCTCGACCAGGAGCAGTCTGTTGACCTGGAGTTCGACCGGGAGGTCGACGGAGCAGTCCGTCAACCTGACAAGTGAGCAGCGGTCGACGAGCAGCTCGGTGACAACTGCTGACGGTTCTGGTCGATGGAAGGGGTCCGTTGACCAGGGGGTAACTCGACGGGAGTTGTGGTCGACCAGATGCACCTGGTGGTCGACCAGAGCATCTGAGGGTTGACCAGGTCGACCGGGTAACCTCCTCGACGAGTTGTGTGGAGGCACGCAAACGTCGTCGAGGTCGCGATGGCTCAGGCGACTTCGGGCTGGTATCCCGAAGTCGATGTGGCTCGTCAGGTGCAGACAACAGGCGACGGATGCCCAACGAGGCAAGTCGGACCAATTGTCTGCGCGCACCTGCGAGAGTGCGCATTGCTGTGTTCTATGGGGCAACACTAGACAGTCGCTCTGCTGCAGCGTTGGCACGCCGTCGACCTGCTCTGTTGGCAGGTCGCCCTTCTGCACTGCTGGCGCGGCTCCTCTACGCAACGCTGGCAGGTGGTCGACCGAGTTGTGCTGGTGGTCGACCAGGCTAGCTGCAGGGTTGCTAGGTGCCTGATGTAGTCATTTTTGCCATCTCTTGTTCAATGATTATGTAATTTCGACTTTGCCTAGTGGAAACTCTTGCCGATTACTCCCGTGAATGCGCAAGCACTAAGGAACTAAGCAAAGCTACGATCACCTCTAGTAGTTTGTGCCAACCCCGTAGTCTAGCTCACTACCGTTGTAGAGTTTTTCTCCGCATGGTGCGGTGAGCGTGGAACGAACACGCGACCTTCAGATAGGAGCCAACTTTTGCACCTATTAAGTCGTTCGTAGGCCGGCAGCAGCGTTAGTCGCCATGGTTGACCCCGTAGTTGATGCGGGTGTAGCGGACACCTTGGAGACACGTTTGGCTGACGCGAGGAGACGCCACGCAGATGGCGAGTACGGGACGGTCCCCTTGGTGATCGTCGAGTTGGGCATCCGGTCGAAGTGGCCGACGGAACACCCTTCCTGTCCTGCATCTCCTCGACCGGTGCGCAACGAAGGTGTCGTCGATGACGAGGTCGACGGTGGTGCACGAATCAGCGGCAGCGAAGGCACGAGGCAAAGAGGGGTGATCAAGGTCGACGGAGGCGTCGACGGAATCCAGGCGCGAGTGCAGCGGTCGACGGCGGCTGCATGCAACTCGCGTGCCAATGTCGATGTTCGACGTCGCTCTCCTCTACCAAGCGGTGGAGGGCTCTTGGCGACGACGCATGTGATGGCGGGTAGAATTGCACCGGCGTATGGCTACTTCAAGTTCTCGCCGGATCGGATCACCGTCGCACCGCTGCAAGGTCGACGGGACCTCATCACCTGGAGGGAGTCGATAGAACCTCAGCTGGAGGTCGGCGGGCTGAAGGGCTTCGCTGACGGAACCGTGCCATTTCCGCCCGAGGAGGATGTCGAGCTGCGCGGGGAGTTTCGCTCTGCTCACCTACTCAACTTCATGGTCATCTCGAGGTGCTGCTCGCCGGAGGTGCAGCTAGCACTCAGGAGCTGTCGAGAGCGATTGGATGCTGGTCACCAGGCATGGCACTTCATCATGTCAACGTACCAGGCCAGGGACGACCTGCACATCGGATAGCTAGAGGAGAAGATGACTTACATTCGAATGGGCGAGCAGGAGTCGGCGACGGACTACTGCAACCGAGCTCGACGGATCCTAGCTGAGACGAGGATGGCGGGCGCTGAATACTCGACGGCGTCCTACATCACCCACGTCCTCAAGGGCCTGCCGCGCAGCTACAACCTCATGAAGAGGTTTACGATGGTGTCCGGCACATGTGATTCTCTCGACGAGGACTCCCTTACAAGCTACATCCTCCAGGATGAGGCGATGCAGGAGGCAGAGCAGCCCACGGAGTTCCTTCCGCAGGCGAGTTACGCTGCACCGACGAAGCCGAATCGTCAGAAGGAGCAGCGCGGGAAGTCAGGCGGAGGTGGTAGCGGAGGTGGGCGGTCGACGAAGGACGTCGACGAGAAGAGGTCAATGCGGGACAAGGGTCGACGAGGTGGTGGTCGACGGTGGGAGTGCTGGATCTACGGCGACCCCGACCATCTTTCCTTCGAGTGCCCCGACCGCGATGACAGCGACGAGGATGACAACAAGGGAGGCCGCGGTCGATCGACCAGTCGTCGTCCCCGTCGAGTTGAGAAGCCGCGCCAGGAGAAGCAAGCGTCGAAGAAGACGTTGTTGACGAAGGACGTCGACAGCTCCAGCGGCAAGAGCCGAGGTGACGGGGAGGCGTCGTGCTCGATGGTCGGCGTGGTGGAGGCGACGGTCTCGCTGGCGCCGAAGGCCAGCGAGGACTTCCAGGAGGTGGCGGCAGCTGTGCAGGCCAACCCGACGGCGGTGCTGCTCGACAACGGGTGCTCCCACCACCTGATGGGGACGAAGTCGGTCTTCGTCGACATGGGGCCAAGCGACGGGGTGAAGCCCGTGCGTGGGTTCAACGGGGCATTACAGCCTGTCGAGGGTTGCGGAACCGTCGCTCTGCAAGGGGAGGCCGAGAAGCGGGTGCTCATCCCCGACGTGCTCTACGTTCCGGGTGTTCAGGCGAACCTGCTGTCAGCCGGCCAGCTGAAGGAGAACGGAGTGCAGCTGCAGGGCGACGGTGACGAGATGCTGCTCGTGGCTACGACCGGGGAGGTGCTCGGTCGAGCACGCTACACCGGACGAGTCATCTGCACCGACCTTCGCCCCTGCTCGACGCAGTCGCCGTCGACCGAGGTGGTGGCTCTGCGGACGATTGTCTCGGCGACAAAGGTGACCCCTGATCGGCTGCATGCGAGGCTCGCGCACGTCGGCGCTGACACGATCAGGAGCTCGGCAGGGCATGAAGTAGCTGTTGGGCTCGACATCATGGCGTCAACCGGAGCAGACCTGCCGTGTGTCTCGTGCGTCGGAGGAAAGCTGGCACGGCACACCTTCCCCGACAAAGGCTCGGATGCCGAGGAGGCACTGGTTGTCGTGCACATTGACTTGTGCGGACCATTTCGGGTGGCTGCCATGGATGGCAGCTTGTATTTCCTGCTGCTGAAGGATCGCCATACTCGATTCGTGTGGGTGATGCCGGTCGCTAAGAAGAGCGACGTGCTGTGGGAGTTCCAGAAGTGGCTGGTACTGGTGGAACGGTAGACGAAGAAGTCGGTGTTGTCGCTTCGCTCCAATCGAGGAGGGGAGTTCCTTGGCAAGGCGTTCACCGACTTCGTCGACAAGAAGGGCATCGTCCACGACATGACGTGCCCCTATAATCCGCAGCAGAATGGCATGGCTGAGCGGGAGATGCGCACGGTCGTCGAGTCTGTGCGGACGATGCTGCTGCACATGGGTGTGCAGCACCACTTGTGGCATCTTGCTCTTCGACAAGCGGTCTGGGTGCGCAACTGCTTGGAGCGGTCGACGACGCCGCCGGGGACGACTCCATACAAGCTGCTGACCGGGCAGAAGCCCGACCTTACGTTGGCGCGGGTGTGGGGCTGCATGGTGCAGTTCATGGTTCCCGAGCAGCAACGTGGTGGGAAGCTGGCGCTGAAGGCTCGCTGGGGACTTCACCTGGGTGTGTTGCCAGAGAGCAAGGGCTGGGGGGTGCTCAACCTGACCGACAACAAGGTGGTCACGTCGGTCGAGGTGATCTTCTACGAGACGCTGTCGCTGGAAGTGTGGAAGGCGAAGTATGGGCCGGCGTCGGGACGGACGCAGGCTCACCCGCCGACGGACACCTCGACGGCAACGGTTCCGTTGCTCGCTGAAGTCGACGAGCCTGCTGATGAGGAGGTTGTGGAAGTTCTTCCCTCTCCCCCTGTCCTTGCTCCTCCGTTCCCCGTCGCAGATCGGCCTGGGTCGGCACCTCAGTCGACCACCGACGATGAGAGGAGCCTTGAGGCGTCGCCTGTGGCGCCGGCCCATGGCATCGCCGACGGTCAACAAGGCGCCAAACTCGTCGACCAAGATGGGAAGCCGTCGACGACAGGGGAGCACCAGACAGGGGAGCCGGTTGAACAGGAGGCAACAGCAGAGGTACACTCGACAGGGGAGCAGCAGCCGGAGCGGTCGACAGTGGAGCTGTCGAAGGCAGCAGCAGACGAGCAGCCGGTCGAAGGGTCAAAGCAGTTGGTTGACGACGTTCTAGTCGACGTTCGGGAATGCGTGCATCGCTAAACAAGGGCCTCGTTTTCGCGACGGAATCTAAGCACGAAACCCTAATAGTAACGTCTCGTGTCAAATGGCGACATTGAGGTAGTGCAAATGGCAACATCATCTTGTCAACCGATCTCTGGTGGCGGTTGTAAATTGCGGGTTCGACTCGCAGCGAATAATTCCATTCATGGACCTAATGAGTCGCTGCGCGAATGCTTCGACCTGGCAGTTCTACGAGGATGGTAACATAGTGATTTCTGTGAAAGTGGAATTTAGAAGGGCTAAGGGCCTGTTCAACGTCGGGGATCGAATACGGCAGAAACGGAAGTCTGGTTCGTTCGGAAGGAACGAACAAGGTTCGTCCGAAGAATAGGGAGGCGGATCCTTTCGCGATTTTCCCGACGGATCCTTTCGCGATTTTTGCGGCGGCACTGAGGGTGAAGAATAGGGAGGCGGAACTTCCCGCCGACACCGACTCCGCGGGCGCTGTCTCCGCGCGGCCCGCCACCACTTTGGCCCCGCTGCCCCAACACCCGCCGGTGCGGTTCAACCAGGACCCCACGTTCTTCGCGTACGCAACGCACCGCGGCTTTTGCGTGTTCCGGTGCAACCAACTGAAGGAGATTCTGCGGCGCGAGTTTGAGGGGCGCGGCGTGGGCATGGTGGAGATGCTGTTCTCCTCCAGCTTACTCGCGCTCGTGGGCGGCGGTCCCAACCCGTGCTACCCGCCGAACAAGGTGCGGGGAGGAGAAGAGAGAGGTGTGAGGAGATCTAGGAGCCCGATAGCGGAAAAGAAGGTGCGGCAGGGGAGGAATGGAGGTGAGGGGAGGAAGGGGAGGAGGGGAGGGAGGGGAGGTGAGGGGAAGTGAGGGGAGGGTGAGGGGACATGAGGGGAGGTGAGGAGGGGGGAGGTAAGAGGAGAGGTGAAAGGGGAGGTGAGAGAGGAGGTGAGGGGAGAGGGAGTGAGAATAAGGCACGGGGAACTGGTGCGACAGACACACCCGGTGCATAGGCAAGAGGGTTCGTTACAATCGTTTCTCTTCTTGTGTTGTTCCCTCTTCCCCCCACCCCCCCTCTTACCTGATGACCTGTGAGCACGGCTGGTGCTTCGGCGAGCTGACGCACCCAAGCGGGTGAATAATCCCTGCCCTTTCTTCGTGTGTCGTTCCCTCTCCTTCCTGTCTCCCCCCCATTCTCACATCCCCTCCTCCCCCCCCCCCCCCATTCTCACATCCCCTCCTCCCCCCCCCCCCCCCCCCCCCCACCCCCCCTTTCACCTACCTCAGGTGATAATTTGGGACGACAAGGAGAGGCGGTACATTGGCGAGCTAGCCTTTTGCAGCGAAGTGAGGGGCGTGCGGCTGAGGAGGGACCACATCGTCTTTGTGCTCGAGCACAAGATCCTCGTGTACTCCTTCCCTGGCCTGAAGCTAGTGCACCAGGTGATGCCTGCACCAGGTGATGCCTGCTCTAGGTACCACCTCACATCACACTGGCAGGTGGAGACGTTGTCAAACCCCAAGGGGCTGTGCGAGGTATCCCAGTCAATCAGACCAGCCCGATTGCTTTCTCTATGCATCTGCTGCATTCCATCATGCGCCTATGTCTCTTCCTCGCCACCACCACCACCACCACCACCACCACCACCACCACCACCACCACCACCACCACCACCACCACCACTACCACCACCACCACCACCACCACCACCACCACCACCACCACCACCATCCATCACCAACTTCTTCCACACGACAGGTGGATAGGAGACGCTGTCGAATCCCAAGGGGCTGTGCGCGGGTGTCCCAGTCGCCCGACAGCTTGTGACTGTTTGCATATTGCCATTGCTGCCCCATGCATCACAGCACATCACGTTCCTGTGCCTGTCGGCCCCACCCACCACGCCACTGCCATCCCATGCCTGGCAGATGGAGACGCCGTGGAACCCCACGGGGTTGTGCGCGGTGTCGTAGTCGCCCGACAACTTCGTCCTGGCGTGCCCAGCCAAGCGGTCGGAGGATGCTCGTTGGGATGGTGGAATGGTGGGTGGGATGGTGGGATGGTGGGTGGGATGGTGGGTGGGATGGTGGGTGGGATGGTGGGTGGGATGGTGGGTGGGATGGTGGGTGGCTATGTGACGGAAGACGCAAGACGCGTCTTGCATCTAGCGTCTAGACGCTAGACACGTGTTTAGACGCTAGACGCTTGGATAAAAACAATTCGGTCAGCCCGAAAAAAACAAATTCGCGCGGCCGAAATCGAATTTCGTGATTTCGACGCGAAATTCAATTTCGCAACATTTGAACCCCCTCCCACCCATTTCAACAATGGAAAACACCCCAACCAACCAACTTTTGTTACCCCCCAACCCAAATTGCAACCTCAAAGGTCTTTGTGGACCACCACCAAAGGCATATAGGAGCACAACCACCTCATCTGTGCTCCTCATATCTAGTCCAACTCAATTCTCCTTCGAAAACCTTGGGGTTACACGCTAACTCAATTCTCATTCAGAAATCCTCAACCTTTTTTGCCAAAATGTGTGCAATGTCCTTCTCTCCGCCCTCTCCACGCCCTATAAGAGGGTTTTTTTCACTGCCCGGACGTTTTTTTTAGGCCTGCCCGGGTTTTCGTCTAATATGCGTCTAATCTGGCCTGAAATGTGTCTAGCGTCTTAGGCGTTGCGTCTAGACGCAACCGTCTAAGACGCTAGACGCGTCTTCCATCACATAGGTGGGTGGGATGGTGGGATGGTGCCACATGCCACATGCGTGCGTCCAAGCGTCCGTCCGTCCGACGTGTGGTGAGAGTCTCAAGTCTTCAACTTCCGCCCCTTCTCCGCTCCCCTTTCGCGTGGATCCTTCCGATCAGCGCCACATGCACTTCATTGTCACATGACTTGGAGCCCACTTCTCCTCTTCCCCCTCCAACCTTTCTCTCTCCCCGGAAGGCTCTCTTCTTCTATGTGTTTGCCTTTAAACGTGCCCCCCCCTTCTTCCTCAGATCCGCATGGAGCGCTTGGATCAACGCCGCAGCACTTCGGAGCGGCATATGACTGCCCCCAGGCTCCCGAAACAACAATCGCTTCCTCTTTCCCCTGGCCTTCATACCCCCCAGCCCCACCCATTGTTCTCCGCCGTCCTCCCATCCATCAGATCTGCGTGGAGCTGTTTGAAGAGCGCCGCGGGTACGTGCGCGGCGCAAGCTTCTCTCAGCCAGCCTGCATGGCGCTTTCTCTGGACGGGAAGCTGCTGGCCACCGCCAGCAGCAAGGGCACGATCATTCGGGTGATCAACACGGCGGATGGGACGAGACTGCACGAGGTACTGCACCTCCATGTGCCACGCGTGCACCGTGTGTGTGCCACGCGTGCACCGTGTGTGCGCCACGCGTGCACCCTGTGTGTGCCACGCGTGCACCATGTGTGTGCCATGCGTGCACCGTGTGTGTGCCATGCGTGCACCATGTGTGTGCCACGCGTGCACCGTGTGTGTGCCATGCGTGCACCGTGTGTGTGCCATGCGTGCACCATGTGCCATGTATACACCGTCGATGTGTGTGTGTGTGTGTGTGTGTGTGTGTGTGTGTGTGTGTGTGTGTGTGTGTGTGTGTGTGTGTGTGTGTGTGTGTGTGTGCTCCTTACCCCTCCGTGCCCCTGCTCCCTGCTCCCTGCACCCTCTTCCATGTTCTTCCCTCTTGCCCACATCTCAGCTGCGCCGAGGAGTGGAGAGAGCAAACATCTACAGCCTCGCATTCTCCCCCAAGGCGCCCTTCCTGGTGGCTGCCAGTGACAGGGGCACTGTGCACGTGTTCTCGCTGGGGCACTCCCACTCCCAGGCGCACGGGCAGGGGCAGGGGGAGGGACAGGGGCAGGCGCAGGAGGATGGGGTTGGGGGTGAAGGGGGAGGGGGGATGGGCAGGGCATCGGGGAGTGGTGGAGGAGCACTGTCGTCATTGGGATTGTTGAAAGGTGGGTCATTTGAGGGGTGGATTATGCTAATATTTTTTTTTTCAAAGGGTTGGGTTTTAGGGGGTATGGTTCTTAAGGGGTGTTACAAGGGGTGTGTTTCAGTATGGGTGCATGGCGTTATAATAGGGGGGTATGTTAGGGTAATTGGCGTGCACACGCAGATGCTCTCTGCTCTCATGCTACTCCCCCTGTGTCTCTTGCCTATCCGTGCGCGTCACTTCAGTGGTGAGTGCTCCCCTGCTTCTATTACTACCCCAGTCTCCCCGCTCATTTCCTGCCTCTCCATAACCTTGCTTGCCATGACTCCTCCCCTCCCAACCCCCAGGAGTCCTTTCCCCCCAAAGTTTTTTCAATGACAAGCATTTCTAAGAACTGAAAAGTCTTCCGACTCCGGACATCCATTCTAACTCCTGCCTGTCCGTGACTCCTCTCCAAGTCTCTTCCTCTCCTTTATTCCTCCTCTCCCCAAGTACTTCAGCGATGAGCCCTCTTTGATGTGCCACAGCATTGGCATGCTCGCTGCTCTCATGCCATCCCCCCCTTGCCTCCTGCCTCTCCGTGACTTCTCTACCTCTCGTTCCTCCCCAGGGGTCCTTCCGGAGAAGTACTTCAGAGAGCGCTCGCTGGCCTTCTACCGCACCGGCGTGCACACGCACATGCTCGCTGCCTTTGGTGCCGACCCAAACACCGTCATCGTGGTCGGCAGCACTGGCGCGTACATGTGCTCATACTTTTATGGACATAGGTTTGTACATATACTAGTTACGGTATGCTATATCAGGTCTTGTGTGGAACCTGTATCTGATTGTTATCAGGGTTGGTTCATTCCAGTGTCTCCCATGATTCATTCCTTGCTTGAGTTCTTTTTTCGTGTGTCTGTCTCTCTCCCCTCCCATCAGGTATTACAAGCTTCAGTTCGACCCACAAGCAGGAGGTGAAATGAAACTATTGAATCAGGCTAACTTTCTCACGACTGAAGATGAGCATTAATACCGGTAGAATGATTACCGAAATACCCCAAATATAAGGCCCTAGAGGGTGGGGACTCTCGACACTAGACAGACTCGAATTCATCAGCCTGGCAATGGTGAAAAGAACCAAGACGTACTACCGTATGGTGACTGCGTGATACCCACATCCTCTCATCTCGTCGGAAGGTGTCAAATGTTATATATTCTTTATATTGTTAGTCTAGGCTACAGTGAGTTGCCCTCTAAAGGGTACAACACTTTAGGTCGACACTTGTATCCCTTGCCTCTCACTACTCAATCACCACTTTTTCGATACTTCTCTCCTAGCCTAGTTTAAGATGGTATTAGAGTAGGTTTTAATCCCTCCCACGCTTCTGCTCCCTCCCTTAGCCAGTCCCAAGGCGCCCGTCCCTTAGGCCCCGTTTCGTCGCGGGTAGGACGGCCCCCGCGGGCCTCGTTTTCGTCGCGTTTAAGGGCCCCCCGCGGGCCTCGTTTTCGTCACGTTTACGGGCCCCCGCGGGCCTCGTTTTTCGTCGCGCTTAAAGGGCCCCGCTGGCCCCTCGTTTCGTCGCGCTCCAGAGGGGAATCTCCCCCCCCCCCACCCGCGGGCCCGCGTAGTCGTCCTTAGCCCGCAGCAGCGCGCGCGTTAGCCAGCGGCAGCCGTGCACGCCACTGCAGCACGCACATTGCAGCAGCAGCGCGTGCATTGCTGCAGCAGCACGACTAGGCAGCAGCGCGTGCATTGCTGCAGCAGCACGGCTAGGCAGCAGCGCGTGCATTGCAGCAGAAGCACGGCTAGGCAGCAGCGCGTGCTCCTGCAGCAGCAGCACGGCTAGGCAGAAGCTAGCCGCCAGCAACAGCTAGCCACCGGAACCTAGCCGCCAGCAGTTGGCGCCAGCTAGCACCTCCCACCCGCTCACAGCCCCTTCGAGCCGCTCACAGCCCCTTCCAACCGCTCACAGCCCGTTCCAACCGCTCACAGCCCGTTCCAACCGCTCACAGCCCCTTCCAACCGCTCACAGCCCCTTCCAACCGCTCACAGCCCCTTCCAACCGCTCACAGCCCCTTCCAACCGCTCACATCCCCTTATCTCGCGCGCACACCACCTAGGACCACCCGACCTCCGTTGGTTCGTCACTCGCGTCACTCATACTCACAGTGTTTCGCACCATCGCGGCTGGAGGCCGCTCCGCTTAGCTGTTTAGGGTAGCCTTGACGTTCGTTGTTAGCTAGGTCTCTCCTCGCTCCGCCAGCCCCTCGAACGACTCTCTGGCTCCTCGATCGGCTCGTCAGCCCTGCCTCCTCCAGCCGTTTACTAGACTGGCGTTCCTAGCTCTGTTTTCCTCCGTGCTCCAGCAGTACTCCGCCGTTCTCCCTCCTGGCGCTCCGTAGGTTTCCTCCTCGTTCTTAGCTCAGCCTCTGCCGAGCTCCAGCCGCCTCTAGCATGGCATCAGTCATGGAGTCTCGTCGCCTCCGTTTCGACGCGGAGGGACGCCCAATAGAGTTTAGCTCCTGGCAGCGCCAGACCACGCGCTTCCTCACCAGCCAGCGGCAGGACGGCGCCACTCTGTGGGCTCACGCGTCTGGTGCCCTACAGGCCCCCCCGTCCCCCGCCGCCCTGCCGACCGCCCCGGAGCCGACCCCTACGGCCCAGGCGGACTACGACCGTCGGGTCCTGGCCAGGGACGTGTGGCTCTCGCGTGACGCAGCCGCCGCTCTCACTCTGTCGGAGCTTCTCCCCCCGACTGAGGCCGCCCACTTTGACCAGGTGGAGACTGCACAGGGGGTTTGGGAGGCTATTGTTGCTCGCTACTCCACCCCCTCCTCTGCCTCCCTCAGTTGCCTCCTCATGCCGTTTGTGTTTCCCGACCTAGGCTTGTTTGCGACTGTTTCCGACCTAGTGACTCACCTCCGCTCGCTTGACGCCGGTTTCCGCGCTGCCTGTACCGACGCACAGCTTCTTGTTGCTCCCCCCCCCATGTGGCTCACTCTTCACTGGTTAGTCACCCGCCTCCCTGACCGCCTTGCCACTGCCCGCGACGCGCTTCTTCAGAAGCACCCCACTGAGCTCACTATCGACCTCCTAGCGACTGCTCTAGGGACCATCGAGAGCAGTCTCCTCACCGTTGCCTCCGCCACTGATGCGGTGGCCCCCCGTCTCTTTGCGGGGTGTGCCGCCCCTCAGCTTCCCACTTTCACCGCTACCCGCGCTTCTGCTGCTGTGTCGGTCTCTGAGGACACTGCTGCCGTTTCTGCCGCAGACTGGCAGAAACGGGGCAAGAGTGGCAAGAAGGGCGCGAAGGGGGGAGGTGGGGGCGGTGGAGGCGGCGGTGGAGGTGGCGGTGGAGGTGGGAGCGGCGGTGGTGGCGGAGGCGGCGGCGGCGGCGGCGGTGGTGCACCAGGGGGAGGGGGCCTTGGAGGAGGTGCAGGACAGACAGGCCCACCCACAGGTGGTGGCCCGACCGGCGGGGGCGTTGCCCCCCAGCAGCAGCAGCCACAGCAGCACCAGCCACAGCAGGGACAGCAGCAGCAGCTGGGACAGCAGCAGCAGCAGGCACCGTAGCAGTTCCAGCAGTGGGGGCCCCCACTGCAGTGGGGTCCGCAGCAGCACTGGGGTCCCCCGCCGCAGTGGGGTCCGGGAGGCCCTGGGAGCACCGTCCGCAGCAGCAGCTCTTCCAGCTGGGCCCCTCGCCCCCCTCGCCGTGACGCTGGCCCCTGCACCCACTGGTGCGTCACCGGGCCGGGCAGCCCCTGTCTCTGTGGTCGCGACGACCACTCTGTCGCGCGGTGCTTCCGCCGCCTAGACGACCTCTACCGGGCTCGTTGGGGCCCTCTGGCGGTCACGCCTCGGTGGTCTCGTCTGTTAGCCCGTAAGATTGATGTCTTTGATCTGTCCATGGACGATGCGCGTCAGCATGCTTTGTATGTTGATGCTGACTATAGTGCTGATAGATCTGTGTGCTCGCGTGTTCGTAGGTTAGCCTGCTTGCCTCCCGCTAGTGTAGCCTTGTGTCTGTCTAGCTTAGGTGCTTGTGTTGCTGCTCTAGGTGCTTGTGTAGCGACTGAGTCAGGTGACCCTCCGGGTGAGGCCTCTCTGTCGTTCACGCTGGACTCGGGCGCGTCTCAGTGCTTCTTCCGCGACCACACGACCCTTACACCACTCCTCACCCCTGTGTCGGTGGCTCTGGCTGATCCCACCTCTGGACCAGCCGTTGCGCGCAGCTCCACCACCCTCCCCTGCCCTGTGGTCCCCTCTGGTGTCCTGCGCGGCCTCCACATCCCCTCGTTCACTCGGAACTTGGTGGGTGTTGGATACCTCCAGGACAGGGGGATCACGGTTACCTTCGTGGGGGGTGGGCGGACTGCAGTCTGTACAGACGCTACCACAGGTGCTGTTCTGGCCACGTTCACCCGGGAGCCCCGCTCCGGTCTCTACGTCCTCCACACCGAGCGCTCCCCGGTCGCGTCCTCCCCTCAGGTCGTTGCGTCCCCTTCGGCCCAGGTCCCCAGTCCAGTTGCTGTGTCTAGTCAGGCAGTAGTGTCCAATCCGGTCGCTGTGTCCAGTCCCGTCGCTGCGTCGTGCTCCTGTCGCTCTCTCACCCACCGCACCGTCCTGTGGCACCACCGCCTTGGCCACCCGTCGCTCCCTCGCCTACGTAGCATGCTCAGTCAGGGACTTGTCTCAGGTCTCCCACGCACCTTCCCGTCGCTCCCTCTCTTGCCTGCCCCTCCTTGCTCTCCGTGCGTCGCCGGTCGCTTACGCGCCACTCCCCACTCCTCCTCCCTTCGTCCGGCCACCGCTCCCTTCGAGACTCTCCACTTGGACGTCTGGGGCCCTGCCCCGACGCAGGGGTCTGGAAGGGAGCGTTACTTTCTGGTGGTCGTCGACGACTTCTCCAGGTACACCACAATGTTCCCTCTTGCGAAGAAGTCCGAGGTGACTGCTAGGCTGATCAGGTGGCTTCTAGCCACTGAGGGCACTCGTGGTCGTCGAGTCAGTTGTCTCCACTCCGACCGTGGGGGCGAGTTTCGCTCCGGCATTCTCGGCGGATTCTGCGGCGAACAGGGCATCACCCAGTCCTGGACGCTGCCAGAGTCCCCACAGCAGAATGGGGTTGCTGAGCGCCGCATAGGCTTGGTCATGGACATCGCCCGCACGTCCATGATCCATGCCCGTGCGCCCCATTTTCTGTGGCCTCACACGGTTCGCTACGCCGCACACCAGCTGAACCTCCAGCCGCGTGTCTCGCGGCCCGAGGCTTCACCGACCAGTCTTTGGACTGGTTCCCCTGGTGTCGGGTCGGCCTTTCGAGTCTGGGGCTGCCTTGCGCTTGTTCGCGACACCTCCGCGGACAAGCTCTCGGCACGCGCCGTCCCCTGTGTCTTCCTTGGTTTCCCAGTGGACTCTGCCGACTGGTCCTTTTACCACCCGCCCCTCCACCAGTTCCTAGACTCTCGTGACGTCCGGTTTGACGAGTCTGTGTTCTACTACACCCGGTACCCCTGTCGAGGTCTCCCGGTACCCCCTCCCCCTCTTTTCATCGCACCCTCTCCTCCTCCTGCTCCCGCCCCTCCGGTACCCCCGCCCCCCCCTGGTCCTGCCCCGTCTGGTGTGTCCCACGTTACCCCTCTACCCTCGGTCGCGCGTCAGGTAGCGGCTCCCTCCCCACAGTCCTCCTCACAGTCCCCTCAGCAGCCTTCGGCACTTCCGCGATAGGTTACTGTGGACTCGGTTGGTGTTGGAGCTGGAGGTGCAGCCGCTGGCGGTGCTCGGTCTGGGGGTACTCGATCGCGGGGTGCTGGAGCGGGAGGTGCTGGCGCAGGTGGCGCTAGCTCTGGGGGTGCTGGAGCGGGAGGTGCTGGCGCACGTGGCGCTAGCTCTGGGAGTGCTGGAGCTGGAGGTGCTGGCGCAGGTGGCGCTAGCTCTGGGGGTGCTGGAGCTGGAGGTGCTGGCACTGGTGGTGCTAGTTCTGGGGGTGCTGGAGTTGGAGGTCCTGGCACTGGAGGTGCTGGTTCTGGGGGTGCTGAGTCTGAGGAGCCTGACCCTGGTTCTGCGGAGTCCACTCCGCCTCCCCACCGCCACGACACACGTCTCCAGGCTGCCCGCCGGCGTGAGCGTGAGGAGCAGGAGCGGTTGGAGAGGGAGCGGCAGGAGCTGCGGGTACTGGAACTTCTGGAGCAGCAGCGGCAGCAGCAGCAGCAGCAGCAGCAGCAGCAGCAGCAGCAGCAGCAGCAGCAGCAGCAGCAGCAGCAGCAGCAGCAGCAGCAGCAGCAGCAGCAGCAGCAGCAGCAGCAGCCGCCGCAGCAGCCGCAGCAGCAGCAGCCGCAGCCGCAGACGCCGCAGCAGCAGCCGCCGCCGCCACCGCAGCTTCCTCTGGAGCGGCAGTTGTTCCCACCTGTGAGTGGCCTGCGGGCCCTTGGCCTTTCCTCCTCTCCTCTTGTCCGCCCCCAGTCTCCTCCTGTGTTTGTTCCTCCGTTGCCTCCTCCTGACGATCGTCCGGCGGTCTGGTCTTCTACTCCTCCCCAGTCTCCTCCTCCTTCGGTCCGTCGCGACTTGGTCACTCGTTGTCCTCCGCGTGCTCGTCACTCGTCCCCTGTTACTGACCTCCACACTGCCCTCCTTTGTACGTCTCGTCGTCGTTCTCCTTCTCCTGTGTCCGTTCTCCCGTCTCCTTCTCCGTCCTCTCTCCCAGCCCTCCCCACTCCTATCACTGACTACTACCGCACTGTTCGTCCTGTTGCCGCACGTGTCCTCGCCACTCTTGTCACCGACTCTCGTTTCCCTCCGTCGTCGGTCTCTGCTCTCACTGCCGCTGTCGCTGAGTTTGCTGCCGCCAGCTGCCTTGACTACGCCACCCGTGTGGTGCCAGCTCCTCCCTACCGTCCTCTATCCGTCGGGGGTGAGTTTGCCCTTGGCTGTGACGTCCTAGAGGACAGAGAGTCTGAGCTGGAGTACTGGGCAGCCGCTTCTCCCTCTGTGTGTGCCATGTTGCTCTCCCCTGAGGGAGACCCCGACGCCCTTGACATACCGACTCCTCGCACTTACCGCGAGGCAGTGTCAGGGGTGTGGGCCTCTCAGTGGAAAGCGGCTATGGACTCAGAGTTGGCGTCTTGGAGATCCACAGGCACCAACGTCGACGCAGTTCCCCCTCCCAGGGCGAACGTAGTCGATGGCATGTGGCTCTTCAAGGTGAAGCGGCCGCCTGGAGCACCGCCGGTGTTCAAGGCGCGCTACGTGGCTAGGGGCTTCAGTCAGCGTGAGGGAGTTGACTTCTTCCAGACCTTCGCCCCGACCCCGAAGATGACTACTCTTCGTGTGTTACTCCACATAGCAGCGCAGCGAGACTACGAGCTGCACTCCCTCGACTTCTCCACTGCGTTCCTCCAGGGCCGACTGCACTAGGAGATCTGGCTGCGCCGTCCTCCTGGCTTCACTGACACCTTCCCACCTGGGACCCAGTGGAGCCTGAGGCGACCAGTCTACGGTCTCCGCCAGTCGCCCCGTGAGTGGCACGACACTCTTCGCTCCACGCTTCGTGACCTTGGGTTCAGCCCGTCCTCCGCCGACCCGTCGCTGTTTGTTCGAGGGGGTTCTTCTCCCTTCTTTATCCTTGTCTACGTCAACGACTTGGTGTTTGCTACAGCAGACAGGGCAGCCCTGGCTCAGGTGAAGTCCGAACTACAGAAGAGACACAAGTGCACTGACCTGGGTGAGCTGCAGCGTTACCTTGGCTTGCAGATTACCCGGGACAGAGCCGCTCGCACCATCACACTGTCGCAGTCACACATGGTGCAGCAGGTCCTTCGGCGGTTCGACTTCCAGCTCTCCACCACACAGCCCACTCCTCTCGCTGTTGACCACAGACTCACTGGCCCCTTTCCCGACGAGCCTTTTGAGTCCAGTGGTCCCTACGCAGAGCTGGTGGGCTGCCTCATGTACCTGATGACTTGTACTCGGCCGGACCTCGCCTTTCCCCTCAGCGTCCTCTCTCGCTTTGTTGCGACTGGGAGACACCGTCCTGTCCACTGGACAGCAGCTGTGAGGGTGGCGAAGTACCTGGCGACTACATCAGGCATGGGGCTTGTGCTTGGAGGGACTCAGCCAGTGGTGTTGACTGGTCACTGCGACTCTTCCTACGCTGACGACGTGGAGACTCAGCGCTCGACTCAGGGTTACTGCTTCAGCCTGGAAGCTGGTGCTGTGTCGTGGAGGTCTACACGGTCGTCGTCTGTGGCTACTTCCAGCGCAGAGGCAGAGATCTACGCTGGTGCCATGGCGGCACAGGAGCTTCGCTGGTTGACCTTCTTGCTTGCCGACCTTGGTGAGCGGCCTCGCTCTGCACCGACCTTGTACGCTGACAACAAGGCCATGATCCTCCTGTGTCGAGAGCCTCGACTGGAGAGCAGAGTGAAGCACATTGACGTGAGGTACTTCCTCCTGCGAGAGCTGCAGCGACGCGGCCAGGCTCGCCTGGACTTTGTGGCCTCAGAGGCCAACACTGCAGACGTTTTCACCAAGGCCTTAGCGCTTGGTGACCACCACAGGTTCTGTGTGCAGTTGGGGCTTGTTGAGGTTGGCCCTCGGTTGCTGTAGTCCTGTTGCTTGCTCTGCTTGTTGTGTTTCCTATTTATATTCTAGTGAACTCTTGAACTGGCCTTGTGGCCACTTGCATGTGCTCGGAATTTGTGTGGTATTCTTGAGATCCACCCTGAGCTTGCCTTGTTTCTTGCGTTGACTGGTTTTGTGACCGTGTGCTCACCTTGCTTACTTTGATGCCCCTCACTTAGCCTATGGGGGTGTGTCAAATGTTATATATTCTTTATATTGTTAGTCTAGGCTACAGTGAGTTGCCCTCTAAAGGGTACAACACTTTAGGTCGACACTTGTATCCCTTGCCTCTCACTACTCAATCACCACTTTTTCGATACCTCTCTCCTAGCCTAGTTTAAGAGAAGGGTATTACCGTATAGAAACTAGCAAACTAAGCATGTGGGAAATTATAAAGAATTCACTAGATTAGGGGGGTATAACTATAATTGACACAAACAAAGTACCCCTCCCCATATTACGGTACCCAGGGGTCTACTACAATTTGGATGGTGGAGGTTTATCCCTTGAATTACGGTAGTATGTCCACTCTTCAGTTTCTGTTTTCTGACGCATGCTTCTTCCCCAAATGAAGATCATGTGTACAACTTACCTTGCTCCACCCAAGCCAGGCATGCATGGCTCAAGCAGCCTCCCCTCATGTACCTGGTCACTTGCCGAAGCAAGCCTGAACCTGCATCTTCCATCTGCATCGCAAGAGTTTTACACCCCAATTTTCCAACTATCAGCAACATGGAAGCTAGGCCGTCCACAACAATAACTCCATACCTCACTCCTAAGCATGCATGGCACACACTTCATTCTTCACTCCCCTTGCATCCCTTTTCCCCAGTCTTCCTACCAAGACAGCACGTCCTTCCTCAACTCCCTCACCTCGAATCCCTTTCCACTATCACTCCCTGCGCCCCGATCTGCCTATGAGTCAACGCGCATCATCGTTCGTAAGGCAACCTCCTTCAGGCGGGTAGAGTTTTGTCAGCTTGGTCAAGCCACTCAGCTTCTGCAGCCCATCATCTGTGACTGCGGTTCCGTTCAGCCAAAGTTTTTCAAGCCCCGTCAACCTCCCCACATGCACCATGCCAGCATCTGTAACACTGCATTCACCAAGCCCTAGCTCTTTGAGTGATGCAATGCCTGTCAAGTGCGGCAGACCAGCATCGGTCACCTTGGTATCATAAAGATAAAGGATCTCCAGATTGGTCAATTCCCCAATGCCTTCCAATGCACTGTCTGAAATGTCCGTGCTGTTCAGGTTTAGCGTCTGGAGTTGTGGAAGCCGGCAGAGGTGCTTGATGCCCTCTGCACTGAAGCCTGAGCTAGAGTACAGGGCAACGTGCTTCAGCTTCTTCATGCTGGACACATGGGCGAGCATGGCGTCTGAGACGCCGTTGAGACCCGCCAGGCTCAGATCACCAGTTCCTTGTGATGCTGATTTGATTCGCTGGCGGGGATGGGTGAAGAGGGGAAGAAAGACAAGAATGGTGATTACCCTGTCAACATGCATGCCCTGTCACATGCATGCCCCGTCACATGCATGCCCCGTCACATGCATGCACTGTCACATGCATGCCCTGTCACATGCATGCCCTGTCACATGCATGCCCTGTCATATGCATGCCCTGTCACATGCATGGCGTACCAGGCAAATGCATGCCCTGTCAAAGAAATCACTCAAACCAGCACTCACCTCCCAAGCAGTCCTCTCATGGCCTTCACTCTGGATGATTCCCAGGTCAACAGTCACTCCTTTTCCACACTCTGCCAATCCCTCCAAGACACGTGGCCAAATCACCTCCTGCACCTCCCTCCTCATCTCCTCACTCTCCCTTGCCAACTCCGCCCTCATCTCATCCTCTCTCACCCTCATCTCCTCCCTCAGCTCTCTCAAATCGGCTTCTCTCCTTCTCTCAGCCCTATCGCGCTGCTCAGCCAGCTCTTTCCTCACTGCTGCCAATTCTGCTGCCATCTCTCCCCCCCTCTCCTCCACCTGCCCTATCATCACCCTCATTCTCATCATCAACATCTCTTCCAACTTGTGGGTCCCAGCCATGCTCGCTATGACAGTCCCAACGACCACGCCAGCTCTCTGCATCCCAGCAAAGGCACACTTCCTGCCTCATAGCAGCATTACGGGAACAGACGGGTGTAGCAGCACACAAGAACGTGATGCAGCAGAGTGACGCAGCACATGAGTGGCAGCACATGGACGGCAGCACATGGGTGGCAGCACATGGGTGGCAGCACATGGGTGGCAGCACATGGGTGGCAGCACATGGGTGGCAGCACATGGGTGGCAGCACATGGGTGGCAGCACATGGGTGGCAGCACATGGGTGGCAGCACATGGGTGGCAGCACATGGGTGGCAGCACATGGGTGGCAGCACATGGGTGGCAGCACATGGGTGGCAGCACATGGGTGGCAGCACATGGGTGGCAGCACATGGGTGGCAGCACACGGTACACAAGATACTAGGAATCATGGATAGGTTAAGGAGATTCAATGTGAGTGGATCATATGAGGAAGTCGATGGAACGCAGGGAAACAAATCATAAAGAAAGAGACCTCCGATTTAGGCAGCATGGAACAATGAGGGCATTTGCTGTCAATAATGTAAATTAATGGGCAAAGTGAAATACCAGCATTACAGAGTCGACACGCTAGATATGAGAAAGGCATACAACATGAGAGCGTTTCGACACAAGAAGCCATGGACAGCCCATCGACAGTGCAGCAAGGGAGAAGCCATGATGTGGCCACAAGACGGGGTTAGTAGAGGCTATATGTGAAACACACAAGCCATACAAGTACATGAAACAAGAGGATGCGAATGCGAGAAATGGACCCTGGGATGAGATTGTAAAATGGTGAGATGAGATGTGGCATGCTCACACGAGGCTCTGCTGCAGTAGAGAGAAGATTCCACGATGCTGTAGGATGGTGAGGGCGAGGAAGGGCCAGTGGGATGAGGTTGAAAGGAGTGGAGAGAAGTGAGGCGCATGAGACAAGTGAGGCGAATGAGACAAGTGAGGCGAATGAGACAAGTGAGACGAATGAGACAAGTGAGGCGAATGAGACAAGTGAGGCGAATGAGACAAGTGAGGCGAATGAGACAAGTGAGGCGAATGAGACAAGCGAGGCGAATGAGACAAGTGAGGCGAATGAGACAAGTGAGGCGAATGAGACAAGTGAGGCGAATGAGACAAGTGAGGCGAATGAGACAAGTGAGGCGAATGAGACAAGTGAGGCGAATGAGACAAGTGAGGCGAATGAGACAAGTGAGGCGAATGAGACAAGTGAGGCGAATGAGACAAGTGAGGCGAATGAGACAAGTGAGGCGAATGAGACAAGTGAGGCGAATGAGACAAGTGAGGCGAATGAGACAAGTGAGGCGAATGAGACAAGTGAGGCGAATGAGACAAGCGAGGCGAAGTGAGGCGAATGAGACAAGTGAGGCGAATGAGACAAGTGAGGCGAATGAGACAAGTGAGGCGAATGAGACAAGTGAGGCGAATGAGACAAGTGAGGCGAATGAGACAAGTGAGGCGAATGAGACAAGTGAGGCGAATGAGACAAGTGAGGCGAATGAGACAAGTGAGGCGAATGAGACAAGTGAGGCGAATGAGACAAGTGAGGCGAATGAGACAAGTGAGGCGAATGAGACAAGTGAGGCGAATGAGACAAGTGAGGCGAATGAGACAAGTGAGGCGAATGAGACAAGTGAGGCGAATGAGACAAGACAAGCAAGATGTTTGTTCACAGCACGGGGAAAACGAGGGAGGGAGACTGGGGGAAACTGGGGGCATGAAGGCGTGAGGAGTGAGCTCGAAAAGGAAGGGAGAAGGAGACGAGATTGGACCGAGATAGGCTGCAAGCAATGTTGGGAGGGCATATCACATTGCATACCATCAGCCCAGCCGTCACAGCCAAGCCCTGCTGATGCACCCATGCTCTGACTTGCGTGTGGGTCACGCCCATCCCCCACATCAGTGCCATGAGCGTTGCAGTGGCAACGTATAACATCATCAGAAGAGGGACCTGCGGCATGGGATACATGGGGTATCAGAGAATGGTGAACCCAACAGAAATGCGAGAAGCAGTTATGTCGAAACCCAACAGGACGCAAAACTTTGATAGAGTGATTGCAGCAAGATGGCTAGTTTAAAGGCTAGTCACCCCAACACGCACCAGGGTCTTGCTGGTTTGAAGAGGGGGGTTGGGAGCATGGTCATGCTGAAGAGAGAGGTGTCCGCCTGTGGCAGTGGCATTGGCCTGAGAGGCAGAGAAGACATGGGAGGATGCAAAGGGGGACATGCAACATGCACACGCGCACACTCATGCACATGCGTGCACACACAGGAAACACAACAGTCGAAGATACATGAGCTTCACAAGATAAAAAAACAGCATGCAAAAGCTCTAGCTTACATGAGGTGGGGAAGCAGAGAGGAGCATGGGAGGGTGCTTGAATTGCTGGCTGTTGGTGTCAACCCTGCCCAATGGCATCATGCTGATAGCGGCGATGGCAGCGCCAAGAGCAAGGCCAACCAGCAGCCCTGGCAGCCCCATGGCCACTGCAGTCATCCGGACCATGGCTGATGGGGCGAGCCCAATGCAAGGCGTGCGCCTGTGCAGAGAGGTGCGGATGCAGGGAGGTGGCAAGAGCACAGCAGCGGGAGGGGGGCAGCGGCAGCCAAAGAAAAATCGGTTCTGAGCATATTGGAGGAAAATGGAGCATATAGGCACAGGGGTCAGACGGTGGGACATAGTAAAATAGCATGAGAAAACGACATGGTAGTCAGATTGTAAGGCTGGACCAAGGTGCGCGGCTTCGGACAGGACAAACGAATGGCCAGTGCGGCGAGGGCAGTAGCAGCAGGAAATGGAACAAAGACACGTTTCGTAGCAACAGCGACTGCACAATGAGAGAGCAGGGGCAGGGGATTGACGGATGGAGTGGCCAAACTAAGGTTGGGAGGGTGCAGTAGTACGGGAGGGGAGGGAGCAGCGGCAGTAGTAGGGGGAAAGGGATAAGCTGACAACAGCAGGGTTAGAGGAGGACAAGCGGCAGCAGCACACACGTATTGACTTCCTTAGACAATCACTACACATGGATATAGTATAGGGCCAGCCAGTTGACGGACGGACGCAGGACGGATGCTGAACATTTTAAAAGGACAAAGAGGCGATACCCACCTTACTCAGGGGATGACAGCAGAGAGATGAAGGACTGGCGGGGCACGATGGTAACGGCAGCAACGGGGGAGGGCAGCTAAGGAGACGTGTTTGGGTGGAAGAAGGCACGGGGAAGCAGGAGGTATGGGAGAGGGAGGACAGTGAAGTCCACAGCGGAGAACAAGATGGTCTAGCAAAGAGCTTGCGGCACGCCGGCATGGGCAACAAGCAGGGAGAGAGATAGAAACGGGAAAAGAAGCAAATCTGGTGACAGAAGTAGCAGCAGCTTTGAAAGTAGCAGATGAAGCAAGCTGAAGGTAAACATGGAAGCACTAAAAAATTAGACGGGTAGAGGCAAGCTGAACTGCAAAGCGATGCGATATTCAGAAGACATATAAAGTGAACAATTAAAGCGAGGGAGGTTGGAAGAGCAAGGCAGGGCTATGATGCGAAAGACGCTCAGAGGACGCTGCGTCCTGCGTCTGGACGCTAGGACGCAAGACGCGCGTCCAGACGCAGGACGCAGATCGAAAAAATTTCGGGCTGCCCCGATTTTTTTTTTTTTTCCAGATTACAAATTTCAATCTCGCGATTTCGACGCGACTGTCGAAATCGCGAAATTTTGACCCCCCATTGCCCAATTCGACATTGGAAAACAGCCCCCCCCAACATTTCATAACCCCCCATGCAACAATTGAATTCCAAATACCTCTCAACCACTTCACATCTAGAAAACCCAACCAAGGTGCCTACCACCAAGCCCATTTAGCAATCCAACCAAGTCATTTCTCATTTCACCCACCCAACCAATTCTCTTTCGAAAACCCTAGAGGTTTTAGCCTACAAGCATAGCTTAGCTCCATTATGGCTTCCTCAAGCAACCCTACGTTCCCCCCCCCCCCCCCTCATCCCATGCCCTATAACAAGTTTTTTTGCCTGCCCGGGGGTTTTTTTTGCCTGCCCGGGACTGCGTCTTTTGGTGCGTCTTTCTGGTCCTGGTGAAGCGTCCTGCGTCCGGACGCATGCGTCCAGGACGCAGGACGCGTCTTTCGCATCATAGAGGCAGGGAACCCGGAGGGGAGGAGAGGCAGCGGTGGGGCAGCAGCAGTGACAGCAGGATGGGCGTGCGCACCTGGTGGTTAAAGGTGGCAGGTAGGCCAGATGGGAGCAGCGAGGTGCCTATTGCGAGCAAGGCGACAGAACAGGTTTTTGTTTGGGGTGGGGAGGGGGAGGGGGGGGAAGAGGAGCAGAAGGAACGAGCTGGATCGGGCGTGGAAAAAAACAGACCATGAAACGGTAGGCCAGAAGAATCGAACTGAAATGAGATGAATAGAAAGCATGCAAAATGAGCAGCACTTAGAAAGGTAGGGGTGGAAACGGATGAGGGGAACACGTAGGAAGGGTGAGGCAGGGAGAGCAAAACAGAAAAAGGTCGGTTGCAACAGAATGCTAACGCAACAGGATGAGCGTGCGTACCTGGTGGGTGAGGTGGCAGGTGAGCTTGATAGGAGCAACAAGCTGTTGGGAGTGGAGCACCACTGCGGATGAGCACGGGGAAAATATGGAGGAAAATATGCGCAAGGGGGATCTGGCAGGAAAACTCGGAAGAAGCGAAACTACACATACAGGCTAACTTAACTTCAGTGGGAGCGAAGGGGAAAGCAGGGAGCGGAGGGCAGAGAGGGGGGGTGAACTAGGGAGCGCAGGAGAGGGATGCTACCTCCCGTCAACCGTTAATTCACCCGTGCCGCACGCCCATGCTATCCTTTCGCCATCCCACGCCCATATCCTTCGCCTTTCGCCTCGCACGCCCTTTCCATCTGTTCGCACCGCACGCCCACCACCCATGTGTTCATCCTGGTTGGCTCACCTACTCATCGCGCCGTTCGCCTCTCACCATCTCATTCGCCGTTCGCCTCGTCGTTCTGCATCGCCGTCGCACGTCTGAGCCCAACCCGTCGCGTCCTACCGACGAGCACCGCACACCACCTGCACTCGCCACTAACAGATTCTATCGCGCTCAGCGCGCCATGCTGGTATTGCCTCAATCTCGATGTTCGGACGGGAAAGTACAATGCGCATCGATTCGTCCGCCCCTCGGACGGCCACATAACGAGCATCGAAGCCTCGGATAGGGTTACCACAGAGCGTGATGGCATGACCACGGTGTCTCGAGGGGATGCAAGTGGATGGCAGAGGCGTGTGAGCATGTCGGAGGGGGATGCAGATTTGGGAATTCGCTAATGGGCAACGCGATTCGTTCTTTATACGTGCCGAATTTCGCACCGTGCGACGCTCGTTCAAACTAAAATTAGGGTTATTAGGGAATGACGTCGAGGTTTTAGGCAGGGTCTACCAGTCTCCGGTTCAAATCTGGCAAGGGCACACAGTCGGTTCTCACGAGGGCGTTGAAGGCGTATGTAACATCAGCTTAGCGACTTCGTCTCAGGCGAGAATGTGCGTGGCTTCGCACGGGAAGTTTCAAGGCTCGTTAGGTGCGGGTTCAAAAGCTAGAGAACATTCAGCAAGATTGAAGCTTAAGTCAAAGCACAGCAATCGATCATGTCGGAGTGTAACACCACGTTACCAATAAATGCCAATCCGAACCAACCTTAAACAATTACCTGAGTAATGAGACTTGCCACACAATCGAGAAGCTCAACGGTAGTCTGATCTCACTGATCATGCCACTCAGGCGGACAAGCCGTCTCCCATAACAAGTACTCCCATACTACCGTGTCGCGTCGCATCAAATTCTCCGCTCGATATTGATTTGACGGTGTGCATTGGTTCTGCGAACTAACGACATTCGCACAACACCGTGTTGCGCGAAGAAATACATTCGTTTCCTTCGTGCAGTCCGACGACCGTAGTAGTACCCCACACGCTGGTCGAATCCGACGAGGACTCGACCGCGCGAGCGCCGCCATTCCTCATCGCGACTACATCACGGCGGTTATGTGCTGTCATCCTGCCACACGCTACCTCGTACTCTCCGCAACTCGCCTCGCGTCACGCTGTTATGCCGCATAACCGCCCATTTCCCTCCCCACCCTTCCTCCGCCTTCCCCCCCCTCCCCCTCTCTCTTCCCCCCCTCTCTCACCTCCGCTCCTCGCTATTTATAATCCTCAACTCTTGTATTAAGCTATGATTCCTCGACACAATACATTGTGGATGTGCATGGCCAAGCAAGGAAGAACAACAACCAAATCGTCCTTCTGCTATGATCAATCGTTCCTCAAAAGTCTTACTCACTGAGTGCCATGCCAACTGGAGGAGGAACAAGAAAAGGGCGAAATTGTGACAGGAGGAGCAACAATACCTTGAAAAAGGGCAGATGCGAAAAGTAGAGGGAAGCTGAATTAAGTAGATGAGAGTCAAAAAGAGAAGACAGGCAAAGCACCGAGTCAGTTGCAAGGAAGTACGGCTGGACTTAGTCAAGGGGGATGAGGAAGAAACATGCGAAGTTGAGGCAGTAAACGGATTCGGGCGGAACGGATCCTGGAAAAACGAATCCAGGGCAAACGGATTCAGGAAACGGAAGGATCCAGAGGAAACGGATCCAAACGGATTTAGGAAATAACGGATCTAGGGGGAACGGATCTAGGGGGAAACGGATCTAGGACGAAGCTAGGGGGAACGGATCTAGGGGAAACGGATCTAGGGAAAACGGATCTAGGGGGAACGAAGCTAGGTGGAACGGATCTAGGGGAAACGGATCTAGGGGGAACGGATCCAGGGGGAAAGGATCCAGCAGGAACGGATCCAGCGGGAACGGATCCAGCGGGAGCAGATCCAACGGGAACGGATACAATGGGAACGGACTTAGGGGGAAAGGCAGGAAACGGTGCAGTGGACGGCACTCACAGTAGACTTTGTGTGGAGCGGTGGTGCAACGAGCTGCCAATCTGAAACAAGGCGCTCCTTAACCAAGAGAGTGGCAGCGGCGAAGAGCAGGGCGTAAGTGGAGAGAGGTTGAGGAGGATTGACGCCGCAGAAAGTGGAGAGGAACTCAGAATGGGGTAATTCCAGACTCGGAGGTAGGGAAAACCGGCCAGAGAGAACTCGGGAGTGGATAACCAGAGGTGGGTTTTGACTCGGGTGCGTGAGTAGGCAAAGGTAAGGGGACATGAGAGAGGAAAGGCGGCGTCACGTTACATCATGCATGCTACGGTACGGGCTGCGTTCGCCTCGTAATCTCATCCGTCCAATCATGTCACTGTTTGCATCTCACGTTTCCCCATCCCAGCCCTTAGCCGGTCCCCGGCTGTGAGGCAGAGCTGTTCCGCCGAACCACCGCACTGCACCGCATGCCAGGCTGCATTTCCCGTCGCCGCAGCCACGCGGGCAACGCATGCATGGGATCGACCGCGAACGCGATTCGAGGCATTGGGGTCATACTCTAGCCCGCCTTCAGCTCCTTCACCCTGTCGATCGCAGTGCCTTAGACGAATATTGGATCTCGCACTGAAAACTGAACGGAAAATATAATCCTTGGATCTGAACGTGGTCATCGCGTTGTACAGCCGAGGCGCGTTTGCGCACGAAAGAGTATTGTTTTTTGATTCTGGTCGCTCTCGATGCACTGACACGTGGCGACATAGGTTATCGACTGTGGATGGTGAGACCCGTGCATGATGGCACGGACTTAGCTGTTGGCGAACGGAACGTAGCGATCAGCACTAGTTGCGGCGAGTATCGGGGAGGATTGTGTGGAGGAAATTGTTGAGGAATGGCAAATGTGAAGTGAGACGCCCGTTATGTCAAGTTCAACCTAGGGTTACCATCTGGGTTGCAAAGCTTTGAGACCTCCATTCGCAAGTCACTATCTCGATCTCATCCCAGTTCACCCGAACATGTGCTTTGAGCGGGTACGACACCAGTGCCAGCACTCCTCCCTCACCCGTTACAGATTTGCGAACGTAATTGCACTCCCGAAGCGCTTTTCGCTTACGTGACGACGTTTGTACGTACCCACATCGTTGAACGATGCGAATTCTGGTTACCTAGCATTACTTATTTTGAAACGTAGCACGAATCACGAGCAGAACGTTCTTATCACCATGGTGGAAGTCACTCGACTACTGCCCTATTAGAAGCCTACTAGCCAGATTTGCTCGGCGTTACCACTCATCGATGTCGCAAATCTAGTATTCGAACCCGCGTAGCAGTTAGTAGCAGTCCTACTGCTATTTTCCTCCGCTCCCTCCTCTCGCACAATCTACTCGTTCCAAAGCGAATTTCAATTTCTGACGTGAGATTCGCGCGACATCTCAGATCGTTTAGCGTGTCCGGAACCGCGTCTTGTAGGTGCCGTCATTGCCTCTCCTATCCTCACGACGTTTCAAGGCGAAACCCTAGAAACAGTTCTGAGGTAAGCCTGGTTATTCCCTCCATTCGTCGTTCCTTTGGCCTACCCATTGTCTCTCTCGTCCTTTACCTCCAAACGTTCTCCATGCCACGTTCCCAGAGCTAGCGCAAACAGAAAAATGCAGTTGTCATGCATGGCGCCGCGCCTCCGTGCTTGTCCGGAGATTTTGATGCCAACTGCGTAATCAACCACTATCATTCGCATTGAATACTTTCCAGGCCCCGCTCATCCCACTACATTCCTTCCCTTCCAGCAATTTCTGGTTTTCAAAGCCTCGCCACCATCACCACGCACTGCAGATCGACTGTCCCCGCGCCGCCCCAGCTGAGTCGCTACGCAATACGTGGAAAACATCGCCATTTTAAAAAAGGTAAGCACTCTGACTCCTCAGTAAGTACAAGGATGGATCCTCCCTGTTTGTCTCCTAGTCTTGGCGTTCCGCATTGCAAGGCTCCCAGCGTACAAGCCATTGGGTGCTCGTACATGTGTCAGAGCTTGATACGTAACTTTTGATGCATTGTTGGCCTGGGCTCTTCCCGTGCTGCTGGTTTCCGTTAGCTTATTCACCATGCTGTCACTGGACGAGGTTCTTACTGATCTATCATTTGACTGTTTCGACCTGTGATCTTCCTAGCCTGTGACCTACTTAGCTGTAAGTGACCTAGCGTGTGTCCTAGTACCTGACTGTAAATGACCAATTTTGAACCTACCTAGCTGTAAATGACCTAGCGTGTGACCTACCTGCCTGTAAGTGACCTAGCCTGTGACCTACCTGCCTGTAAGTGACCTAGCCTGTGACCTAGCCTAGCCTATGACGACCAAGAAGCGAGACCATGAGACTTTTCTAGCTCCACATCTTCCAGTCGTCCAGCTGTAGTTCACTTCATAGTCCACCAGCTCGGTCAATTTATCACTTCTCACGCTCGCCGCTGACCTGGGACAGGCCCTTAAAGCATCAGATCTGACTTTGGCAAGTGGTGTAACAGAGAAGGAATGCCACCTAAGTTGAGTCGCACTGGTATACGACCTGCCCTTTTATCTCGAGCCAACCAGCTCGCCGAGGTGGAGTTGGCCACGCTTATGCGCCTCGAGCCAAATGGGAGCAAATGGCCACGTGCGAGATGAGTTGCCTTTCAAGCCATTTTGCAAACGGTGTTGTTTGACCTGGTACCATTTCTTCATTGTGTCATGTGCTCGCTCCGCCTTCCCTCACATGCGTGACTGTAATAACGAGAAGAGGTGGGTCACATGGCATACTTCATGCTACTGTAGAGCTTCTGTTTCTTCTTATTGTGACCGTCACCTTCATGCATATTGATGTCAACAGGTGGTGGATACATACATCACTGTATTAACCACCACCACCGTCCTCGCTTTTCTAGTCTTCTTTCACCCCCCTCTCTCTTTTACTACCTTCTCTCCATTATTTCAAGAATTACCTTGCCCTTACCTTACCACCGTTGTACCTGGGACTTTCTTGCTGCTCTGCTCGTTCAGCTCACTTTATGTGAGTGACACTACACCGCCTGTGCACCAGTTAGCCCTCTGTGTGCCAGCCCTCTGTGTAACAGCCTTTTTTTTGCCAGTCAAGTCTCCCTTTTCTGCTGCTTCTTACCTGCCCCCTTACTCACATCACTGCCTCATCCCTCACGCCTATGCTATCGGTCTTGTTTGTCGCGTGTTTACTGACCATGCCTCTTCCCCCAATTGTTTTTACGTTCTGGTTTCTCTGACGACACTCAACCCTGCCCTTCTCAGGCTTGTTTGCTTTCGCAAGTCTCCTGTTAAAAAGACAGTTGAACAACAGGATCAGCCAGTTTCCGAACAAGTGTTGTTTGAGGGGAGTGAGTGAGTGGATGATATGGCTGCAGAGGAAGGGACGACTGCAGTGAATGAGTCAATCAAGGAGGCGGTGCTGGCAGCAGTAAGAGAGGAGCTGGCTGCACACAAGGAGGTGGATGAGTTGCGGCACATGCTGACAGCAGTTAAGGGGGAGTTGGAAGTGGTGATGGGGGAGTTGGCAGCGGTTAAAGGGGAGTTGGCAGTGGTTAAAGGGGAGTTGGCAGTGGTTAAGGGGGAGTTGCCAGTGGTTAAAGGGGAGTTGCCAGCGGTTAAGGGGGAGTTGCCAGTGGTTAAAGAGGAGTTGGGAGTGGTTGAAGGGGAGTTGCCAGCGGTTAAGGGCGAGTTGCCAGTGGTTAAAGAGGAGTTGGGAGTGGTTGAAGGGGAGTTGGCAGCGGTTAAAGGGGAGTTGGCAGTGGTTAAAGGGTAGTTGGCAGTGGTTAAAGGGGAGTTGGCAGTGGTTAAGGGGGAGTTGCCAGTGGTTAAAGGGGAGTTGCCAGCGGTTAAGGGGGAGTTGCCAGTGGTTAAAGAGGAGTTGGGAGTGGTTGAAGGGGAGTTGCCAGCGGTTAAGGGCGAGTTGCCAGTGGTTAAAGAGGAGTTGGGAGTGGTTGAAGGGGAGTTGGCAGTGGTTAAGGGGGAGTTGGCGGAACACAAGGAGGCTATGGCAGAGCAATTGGCTGAGAGTTGTGGGGCATCAGATGCGAGACGCCTGAAGCGGAAGAGTAGAAAGAGGAGGCAAGAAATGACAGCAGAGTTTGCGTGGGCGGAAGGTGACGTGCAGGTGGGATCCGTACCTGGCATGGGAGGCATGGCCGGGCCTGGAGGTATGGGAGGGTGGGGGCCTGGTATGGGTCCTGTAGGTATGGGAGGGTGGGGGCCTGGTATGGGTCCTGGAGGTATGGGAGGGTCGGGGCCTGGTATGGGTCCTGGAGATATGGGTGCAGGCATGGGTTCTGGCATGGATGGGGAGGCGCGGGAAGGGGGAGGCGGAGGCGGAGGGGGGTGGGGAATGGGGGGTATGGTGCGGATGGGGGGCATGGGGAACATGGGGAACATGGGGGGCATGGGGAACATGGGGAACATGGGGAAGATGGGCATGGGACAGAGTATGGGCGGGGGCATGGGGATGGGAATGGGTGGAGCGGGCGGAATGGGGATGAACATGGGATATGGCCCTGGTACATGGGGAATGGACGGGCTTGGCGGATGGGCAGGCGGAGGAGGAGGAAGAGGGGGAATGTCTGAGGGCATGGGCGGAGGGGGACTGGGAGGCGGAGGGGGAGGTGGGCGCGGAATTGGGGCCGGTGTAGGGGGAGGCGCAGGGGCAGGATCAGGGGGGAGCGGAGAAGGCGCTGGGATGGGCGGAGGAGGACCCCAGTCAGGCCCAGCGAATGGCCCTGGTCGACTGCGCATGTTCTACCGCACAAAGATGTGCGTCAAGTTCCAGAAAGGCGTGTGCCCGTACGTGAGCAACTGCAGGTTCGCCCACTCGCAGGAGGAGCTGCGCGCGCCGAGCTGGGCCCAACTGGGGGAGCAGGAGTTGATTGGCAATGTGCCTGTGCCATGACAGCCGGCAATGTGCCTGTGCCAGAATGGGACAGATGGTAGAAGACCTGAAGGTGAATGTTGAACGGAACATCAGGCAGAGTGTGGGCGTTGGAAAGTCTGCAATGCAGGTGAGTGCTGAGTGGGCTGTTCCTAAGGGGAACAAACTGCTTGCCACCTCTTTCTTATCACCATGGTCATCCATTCATTTCTTCGCCATGTTTTCCCTCTTCGCCCATTTTTTCCAGGCAATCAAGGTAGCATCACAGAAGTCCGATGCGAACCTGTCGAGTCTCCATGCCCTCTCAGACACCATGGTCAGCCATGTCTCTGTGATTCGGGCGAAATGCAATTCTTCATCTCCTGCATGTCACTCCAATTAGTCCATTCCAGAGATTCAGGACAACACTCACTGTGTCCGCAGCCTGCTGTCCGCAGCCTGCTGTCATTCACAGCAGTCTGTGAGAGGAGGTGGACCACCTCAGATGGTGTGAGAAACAAGTGCTGAGGGGTAGGGGACGATTGTAAGGAGGGGAAAAAAGACAAGCAGTCCAAGTGCACGCGCATCAACATGCGTGCTTTTCCCCACAACTCAACACAAATGCCTTTTCCCCATTAATACACTGGGTCCAATTCTTTCAGCTTCACCTCTGCGTTCCGTCCAATGTGACCTGTCCACTCCTCAGCCGATATAAGTACTTTCAGGTCACTCAATAGCAAAACCATCCAATGTGGCTTGGTTGGTGTCATCTATCGGGTAGGAGGGACATCACCAATTAACATGATGTTTTAGATTAGACCACCATTGTTTGTATCAGTACGTTTTCATTTCCCATTACTCATACACCTGCCATGTACAGTGCAAATAGAATGAACACGATACACCATCCAGATACTACATGGGTTTCATATAATCACTACAACAAGAGTGCAGCAGCTTGATTCCGTCATGCACATGCCCTGCACTCTCCACTATGTGAAGTGAAGACCATCTCTGCAGCATCCTTCAGCCACAGCCAGGCAAGGCAAATATGGCTCATGCAGCCTCCTCCGCACATCCAGAGAGTGGTCTCTTGCCCAACCAGCCTTGCACCTGCTGCTGTACAACTGCAAAGGCACAGGTTCTGACCATTCTCCACCTCTCTGCAGCATGCAGCCGTGCACAACCACCATTCCATGCTGCACTCCTCCGCATGCATCCTCCCCTCATTCTTCACACCCCTTGCCTCCACCCTCCTCCTCAGTCTTCCCTACCAAGACACACTCACGCCCTCCTTCACCTCACCTCGCCTCCCTCTCCATCGTCACTCCCTGCCACCCTGCCTGCCTATCTGCTTCCGCGAACTATCGTACTCAGACGATCCCCTTCTGATGTATAGAGATCCCTCAGCTTGGTCAGGGCAGTCAGCTGCTGCAGCCCATCATCTGTGACTGCCGTACCATCCATATAAAGATGCCAAAGCCCTGTCAGCCTCCCCACATGCACCATGCCCGCGTTTGTCACACCCTTACAACTAGAAAGCTCCAGGGACTTGAGAGAGTAAAGGCCCGTCAGGTGTGCTAGACCAGCATCTGTGATCTTGGTGGAATTGAGATCAAGGTCCCTTAGTCTGGTCATGGACCCAATGCCTTGCAAGGCACTATCTGACACGTTTGTGTGTTGTAGGTACAGCGACTCCAGCTGCGGCAGTCTGTAGAGGTGCTTGATGCCCTGTGCATTGAAGCCCGAGCTATTGTTCAGGTAGATACACTTCAGATGGGGCATTGTGGACGCGTGGCCGATCATAGCGTCTGAGATGAAATTTGAATAATTCAGACTGAGACTCTCAGTTTGTGATGTTGCCTTGATATTCTGAAAGGAATCGATGAAGTAAGGGATGGACATGAATGAAATGATCGTGCAGGGCCTGCAAAACACTGCATGCCCTATAACACGATGCATGCCCAGTCAATGCAACTGAAACAATGCATGACCTTTGAATGAAACAACGTGTGCCTGTTGAACAAGGCATGACCTGTCAAACAGTCCACTAAGCACTCACCTCCCACGCAGCTTTCTGACCGCCTTCACTCCGCCTGATTTCCAGGTCAGCATTCAGCTTCAGATCTCGTACCCTCTGCTGTTCCTTGCAGGCTGCCAACTTCCCAATGGCACATGGCCTATTCAATTCCTGCACCTCCCTCCTCCTCTCCTCCCTCTCCCTTGCCAACTCCGCTCTCATCTCCTTGTCACCTTTTCTTGCCTCCGCCCGCAACTCTCTAAAATTTGATTCCCTATTATCCTCTGCCATATGCAGTCGCTGTATCATAGCATCCTTGTATTCAGCCAGTCCCCCCTTCACTGCAGCCAGCTCCTCCCTCAATCTGTTCAGCTCCCCCTTCATTGCTGCCAACTCCCTCTCCTCCACCACAGCAGCAGTCGCCACACTCCTCTCTTCCACAACACCCAGTGCACGCCTCAACTCATTTTCCAAATCCCGGTTCCTCTCATCCAGCATCGCCACTCACTCCTTCTGTCGAGCCACCTCCTCCCTGACCACTACCAGCTCCCCCCTCAATGCTGCCAACTCCCCTCTCACTAATCCGAACAGTCCATTTACTGCCGCACTCATCACACTTGACTCTCCCTCGACAGCCATAACTACAAGCAAATTTCAGCCTCTTCCCTCCTCCCCACTGCAGATTGCTCGACGTGAATGGCACTCTGGCGTGTAGATGAATGCATGGAGGTAAACAGGGAAAGACCACACACACAAGAAGAAAAGAGCAGGAGAGTAGGCATGAGAAAATGGCCCGATCCGAAAGCAATGGGCCAGGGTATCAAGTCGGGTTGGGTCGGGTTGGCTCGGGCCAAAGTCTTCAAGACCTCGACCCGACCCTTCCTGTGGAAGTCGGGTTTAGCCTAAACTAAGGCCAGGTCGGGTACAGTAAACCCGCCCTCCCTAGCCGCCCAGATTAGATGTGAGCTCTACAGATTTTGGAGCCCAAAACCCCCTAAGCAAAACCGAAACCCGTAAACTGGTGCTTAAACATAGGTATGAACGGCGCCATCGCTTAAAATAGTGAGCTAGGGGGATTTCTATGCCTGATTAGTTACGTCCTAGGGTTCCTAGGCTGTAGGAATCGATTAGGTTGCAAAACGATGGGGAGGGGAAAATTGTCCCTCGATATCGAGATCTGGGTTTCCAACCGTTGAAATCAGTTAGGGTCAATACCCGGCGGGTCAAAGTCAAGTCAAAACCCGACCCGGCCAGGCCAGGCCAATGAAAACCTTGACCCGACCCTGGCAAAATCCCGGGTCGGGTCGGGCCTCATGCCTACGAAGAGGGGGTGCCATTCAACCTAAGTAGACACGAGCCAAACTGTACCTCGCCTAGTTAAACCTACTAGAATTGGTCGAGACTACGGCCTCAACTGAGGCGACCATCTCCCATGGAATAAAGTTACTCCGCCAAAAAGGCGAGGAAGGAACCTACTCGCGAGTCAGCTTTTCTCTTGATCTAAACCCCAGCGCCACTTTCCAGAGGAAGTTGTACAAATGAACTCGCTTGGCTGGTCAATGTACCTCTGAGGTGGCAGGGTATGTGGGTTCCCACATGGGCATGGGAGGGGACAGGGTGGATATTTCGAGTATTACTTGCCTCACCAGCTCGTGACTTGAGCTTGGTAGAGAAAATGCGAGCTATCACAACTCTAGCTAGCAGAATCACGATTTTTTGTTATATAGCAGCTCCAGCGTGGATTAACGGCAAAACTTTGAGGACAGCAAAAATGAAGGGATATGTATGTGGTGACGGCAATTGTGGCAATATCGTCATCACAAGCATGTCACTTTCTTATCTTGGCAATGCCTATGTTCAGTCACCTCACACGTCAGTAAATGCCCTCTTGGCTAAGTTTGCCTTAAATCGAGCGTCGACGTGTGACGCCTCCATGCATGCTTACTGAGCTTCCTCTTTGCACTAAGCTCTAGGAATGTGGAATTGAGATAGCCGAGAGCTTATGCACTGCCCTTCTCCATTTTGCGGCACCGACACGAAAAAAGGAGATAAACGGAGAGTATGAAGCATGGGCGAAGTGAGACTCGAGGGAACTGCTGGCTTGCAAGCAAAATGAATGCTATGACGAACCAGACTTACCTGTTTCTAGGGTTTCAAAGATTGAAACGTCGTGAGAGGCTAGCTGAGACACCTGAATCTGAGCTCTACAACAAGCACCGGACACGCCGAACGATCTGAAACGCACCGAAATTGTGAGTTTTACTTGAAAGTATACGATGGCTTTAGAAAATTATAGAAGCGAGAGCGTAGTTGTGAATCTCACTCGGAGCGAGGGTAAAAAGACGAGAAGATAAGAAATCGTGAGGAGAGGAGGATTACTAGCAGGATGAATGGTACTAGCTACTACGCGACGCGGGTTCGGAAAAAAAGGATAAGCGCTTCGTGATAACTTAGCTTCTAACATGAGATGAGCGCATAAGGGCCGTGTGTGCTTCAGATAGCAAGGGCGGCAGTCCTGAATGTTCTCGGCTTGCGTAGTTTACCAGCCTCCCCTGATTCGAGGAACAGTGTACGAAAGTGCTGAATGTGCAAGTCGTCACCTGTGCAAGAAAAAACGAAATACGAACGCTATATCGACTCGAGTTTGGAACAGGTGACGGGCAGGAGCACTGGTAACGAAATGAGGCGACTCAATTCGTACCTATCAAGGCACTTGCGTGGCTGAACCGAGAACGACACAGCGTGGGTATATTTGGAACGCTTCAACGATCAAGAATTGTGTTTGCAGTGGTAACTGCCAAGAAACAATTGCGTGTGACCTGGAACACAACAAATGTGTCGAACTCGAGATTTGAGCGCTGATTATGATTTGAACCACTTCTTGTTTCGTTCCTACCCCAAGCACCTGTCGACAAGCTTGTGTCAATGAGAGCATAGCAGACGTACCGTGAGGAAAGGTGACCCGAATCGCCTCTACGAAATCAGTACGCACGGCGACGCCGATTCCCGTAGCCATTCGTAA